GGTGGCCCCGCAGGTGTCCGTGTGTGTCCCCACACCGGGAACAGCGGGGAGCGCCGGGCACGGCACCCGGTGAGGCTGGGTCGGGGGCTCCAGCGTCTCTTGGAGCGCCTGGATGTACGTGTGGGGCACTGAGATCCGCCTCCATGCGCCCTTACAATTACAGTCGGGCGATAAAAACGTCTCGCTTCATTTATCAACGCGATTTTGAGCGAGCGGGTTTGCATTGCGTCTTCTCGCTATTTAGTGTAGAAACTTTGTGAAATTCATCCCCCCAGAAAATCCGCTTAGATGGGAATTTCCATTATATGTCTATTATTTTAATTTTCACCTGTGAACCATGGGTGGATATTTAAAGTATGAAGAGCAATGCATAGGAGTTAGAGGGAAATCTTCAACTTACTTGTATCATCATTGCTGCGCATTCAAGTGTTACATATATTGCATGTTTGAAGTTCTCCAGACCACGGGAGAATTTAAAATCAACCACTGGTTCTCTTTTCAAAGTGGCTTATGTGATGAAGTTTTATATGATCTCCGTAAGATGTTATTTAATGTTATAATTTTTAATGCATTTGTACCTCCAGATTGCTAGACTGCAGAAACTCTGGGAGATTACACTGGAAAAACTAACTCCTGGGTGGTTGCACTGTGCTGCGCTTAAGTTTATTTTGTTCACTTTTGTGTCAAAATTGTTTATTTTTTGCAGTAAACTTGGCTACATTTAAGCCTGTGCTGTTGACTGGAAACATAAAAGTGCCTTGCAGTGATTCGTAAAATGACTGAAAACACCCACAGCTAACATCTCTCTCCGGGCTCTGTCTTCCACAGTGTCTAACTTTGTGACTGCTGGGGTTGGGAAGAGCTGTTGTACATGAAGGGCTTTCCTGGTTATACACGAATGGCTCTCCTCATGAGGCTGGTGAAGGGCCAGCCACCGCTGCGTGCCTTTGGGGCTGCTGGTGCCAGTGGCGCCGCCAGCATGGGGAGGGCCGAGACAGACACCCTCTTGTTCTGCTCCGCTGCAAACAGAGACTGGGACTTTATCCGTGCTCTCCAAGATGAAACAAAGACCGTGGCAGCCAGTCGGCACAGAGGATTACAGAAAACCCAAGTTATCTTGCTTTAAATGGATCTGGGTTGGTTTGAACCTCATCCTGACATGGGTCCATGCTTTAGCTACACAGTCTGGCACTGGGATTTCCCAGCATGACAAAAAACTTTCATTCTCTACACTCAGTCATGCTGCTGTTAGATCCTACCTGCCAGAATAGTTAGCTTTAAAATTATGACACTGGATTATTTTTTTTTCCAAGTAGCTTTCCTTTTACAAAGTTCGCCAAATGCTTTGAACAACTTAAGTGAATTAAGCTATTGAAGTGCAAAGTGATATAGTAGCTAAAAGCATTATTGTTGAAATATGGAAAGTAAAGCATGGTTTTAAGTTGTTCAGGTTTGACGAGGGTATTGGGTGCAACATCTAAGGCAAAGCAGATCAGGTCAGACTGGGATTACCAGGACTTGAAGCACTGGTCTGTCAAGAATTGGTTTTAAACACAATCTTGGCTAGCATGAATTTCATGATAGGTATCTATGCTTCTCTCAGACATCACGCACTTCTGCTGTCTGGGAAGAAATGCATCTTTCACACAGAAATAGTTAACCACTAATTTTTTCACTAAAGATTTTCTCAGTATTCAGAAAGTTTTAGATTTTGTATGGCTTTTAAGTCTGTCTTCATATAACCATGTTTGTGTTCTCTCCAACCAGTGGAAACCCAACCCAACCCACTCTTACCTGTCCTACAGGAACAAGATGCTTTTTAAAAAATAATGTAACTTCTAGATACTATCTAAACTTCAGTCACTTATTTCCATGCAAAGAGACATCATAAAGCTTATTTGAATTTAAATGTCTCACTGGAGCTCTTAGAGTGACTTTGTTTAGTATATATAGTACTATAACTGTACTATAGCTCAACCTCCTTGAAATATATTCTAGTATTACATGCTCAGTATTCAAATCATCAGCACACATGAATCTCAGATGATTCCTTGTTTTAACTGTACCTTATGTATAGTTAACACTTTAGATGTAATCATTTCTCTGATGTCTAGCGATGTCTTAGTCCCTTCGTGTGATCTCTTACCAGAGTCTCCTGCTGGTGCAAAATGCTAATGCAGCCATCAGATGTCCAGAGGAATCCCTGGGAGCAGATGCACCTCAGCACCAGGGCCTCAGCTACACAACAGCTTCTTTTTGTGTGTGTGCCTTTCAGGTGGCGTTCAGGGACAGAC